CTGAAATCACTCATCTAAACGAGGGCAACATGGTAGCTCAGTGGTTAGAACTGTGGCCTCACAGCAAGAAAGTCACTGGTTCAAGTCCCAGCTGGGTCAGTTGTCATTTCTGTGTGGAGTTTGCATGTTATCCCCGTTTCCTCCGGGTGCTCCGGTTTCTCCCAAAGTCCAAACACATGCGCTATATATTGGATGAACTAAATTGACTGTAGTATATGAGTGTGTGTGTGAGAGAATGAGTGTGTATGGGTGTTTCCCAGTACTGGGTTGCAGATGAAAGGGAATCCGCTGCATAAAACATATGCTGGAATAATTGGTGGTTCATTCCGCTCTGGCGACCCCTAACAAAAAAAGGGACTTAGCCAAAGGAAAACTAATGAATGAATGATCTAAACGTGATTCCACAAGTATTTACCGTGTTTAATGCCAGAGCATGAACGCAGCCACAGGAAAAACATGTGGTAACCATGTTTACAGTCAATAATGAGTAATTCAAGATTACACTGCAATAAATGCTTTTCTTACTTGGAGTTTAAGTCTTGCTTCAAGTCTAAATATTTAAAAATTCTTAAATTAAGAAGCATTTCACAGAGAAGTAAATAATGTTTTGTTTTCTGAAATAATGCATAAAAATTTGATGAGTTTTTCCCTGAAAACAAGCAATCTACCAATGGGGTAAGTGAAAGAATCTTGTTTGCAAAATAAGTAGTAAAATCCCTTGAAATAAGTTGTTATATTTTTGCTTGTTAATTTCGCTTCGCTTAATTTCCGTAGCAAACAAGCTTCTACTGACAAAAACTCTACGAAAACTAAATAAATATTAAGTAATGATGACGACAACTGCAATTCAAATATGCTGATATTTTTTGTAGACTAATAAAAACGAGACGGGAATGTGATTGAGGGATGTTTTATATGTAATACATTATCATTTGCCAGTCAAATATCATCATTACTTATTTAATCAGAGCTATATCTAAGCACCAACTACTGTAACACCAACTACAAGAGTAAAGCTTGCTAGGCTGCAAAGTGGACTATTTTAAGCCCTTTCAAAGATTGAATAGGTTGAAACTGTTCAAGAGACTGGTTAAAAGACTAATATTTTACCACTTTAAAATAAAGTGTTGGCAAAATAATCCTGCATTTTCAGTAGGCTGCTGTTCTTACATGTGGATAATTTTACTTATTACTTATGATATAAATAAACAATGCATATCTAATTTTTGGTCTTCAATGGAAAGGTTATATTTTGATGACACTGTTTTGTTTAATTTTAAGTTTTGTATAAATAAATGTATACTACATTTTAATTAAACAACACAAATTAAACCAAATATATTGCAGTCAACTAAATCTAGAGTAGATTTATTCAACTTGACTAATCAACCATTCAGAAGACTAAAATTAAAATGGAATTAATCGACTAAAACTAAATCAAAATTTGCTGTCTAAATTAACACTGTTGCTTACCATATTGGCAAACTCTAACTCTAAACTTTAATTTGACTTATTAAAACAGTATTTTTGCTTGTCTAAAAAATTCTTTGTGATCTAAATTTGAGATATTTTACTTAAATAAAATCTGTAAATTAGCAGTTATTTGTATTTTGTGATTCGTGCTTTTATCCATGCTTTGTATCTTTGTTTATTTCTGTTTTTGCATTGCATTATAGCAGCTTGCTCTTCTTTTCATCAACTTTTAACCTTAAAAAGTTTTAAAAGGTGACTTTTATGAACACTTTTAATAGTTTGCAGTGAAATATGGTCTGAGTTGGTGTTGTATGTTACACTACAAAAACCTTATAATAAAGTGCCAGTACAATTTCTGTAATTTTACAGACTTATTTCTTTATATATTATTTTTTATACGCCATATTATGTATTTCAAACTACTAAAATGTCGATAAAAGTCGCTTTGTTAAACCGCAGAGTTGAATTTTCAACATCTAAAGTGAACAGAGCAGAGATCAACATCCCATAATGCAATTCACCACCGCAGATAAACACTTGTGAATCACTAAATACAGAAAGTGTTAATTAACAGATATTTTTTAGTGTAGAAATAAGACAAAATGCAAAGAGGACTAAGACTAAATCAAAATTTGCTGTCAAAATGAACCCTGTTGCTTTTCATATTGGTAGATTATTTTGCTAGTTTTATGAAAAAAAATCTGTAACTCAAAATCTCAACTTTAATTTGAGTTTTAAGAACAACATTTTAACTTGTCTAGAAAATACTTCTTGACCTAATTTTGAGATATCTCACTGTAAAAAAATCCGTAAATTAGCAGTTTTCTGTATTTTGTGATTCATGCTTTTATTTAAGCGTTGTATCATTGTTTATTTCAGTTTTTGCATTGCATTCTGGGAGCTTGATCTTTTTTTTCAATGATTTTTAACCCTGAAAAGTTTGAAAAATTGTCTTTTATGAACATTTTTAATAGTTTAACTTGCTATATTGTCTGGGTTGGTGTTGTATTTATTTTTTATTTATTTAGTTTGGACTTATCTCTATGTATATTATTTCTTATATGTTATATTATGCATTTCAAACGACTAAGATGTCAATAAAAGTCACTTTCTTTAACTGCAAAGTTAAATTTCAACATCTAAAGTGAACAGAGCAGAGATCAACATCCCATAATTCAATTCACCACCGCAAATAAACACTTGTGAATCACTAAATACAGAAAGTGTTAGTTAACAGATGTTTTTACCAGCCTGATCTCACGAGGAAACGTAAATAGTGTAGAAATAAGACAAAATGCACTGAAAATCTCGGGGTTTAGAATGTTAAATTAAGGAAACGACTGGCATTTTAGCATGAAATAAAATTGAATTTTAGTCAGAGGACTAAGACTAAATCAAAATTTGCTGTCAAAATGAACCCTGTTGCTTTTCATATTGGTAGATTATTTTGCTAGTTTTATAGAAAATCTGTAACTCAAAATCTCAACTTTAATTTGAGTTTTAAAAACAACATTTTAACTTGTCTAGAAAATACTTCTTGATCTAATTTTGAGATATCTCATGGTAAAAAAATCCGTAAATTAGCAGTTTTCTGTATTTTGTGATTCATGCTTTTATTTAAGCGTTGTATCTTTATTTATTTATGTTTTTGCATTGCATTCTGGGTGCTTGATCTTTTTTTTTCAATGATTTTTAACCCTGAAAAGTTTGAAAAATTGTCTTTTATGAACATTTTTAATAGTTTAACTTGCTATATTGTCTGGGTTGGTGTTGTATTTATTTTTTATTTATTTTGCTTGGACTTATGTCTCTGTATATTATTTCTTATATGTTATATTATGCATTTCAAACGACTAAGATGTCAATAAAAGTCACTTTCTTTAACTGCAAAGTTAAATTTCAACATCTAAAGTGAACAGAGCAGAGATCAACATCCCATAATGCAATTCACAACCGCAGATAAACACTTGTGAAACACTAAATACAGAAAGTGTTAGTTAACAGATATTTTTACCAGCCTGATCTCACGAGGAAACGTAAATAGTGTAGAAATAAGACAAAATGCACTGAAAAGCTCTCGGTTTAGAATGTTAAATTAAATCGATTGGCATTTCAGCATCCCCAAAGCTCTAACTTTAAGCAGTTAAGTCAAAGTTATACAGACTACGCTTGGACTTTGCTTGATTTGGGATGGCAGTGGTCTACCCTACTTTCCGTTGGGAAGTGATGATAAATGAATGAGTAAGGCTCAGTGTGTGTGATGATATTTCCCGCTGAGTGTGTGTGGTTGATCCTGGCACAGGTTCTGCTCCCGTTTCCAGGTTAATTGCTCTCCATTACCGCGTGGAGCTTAAATGTGATGCCTGCATCCAAAACCATCGCCGCAAGAGTTTTATGTCCTCATCTCCTAGTTTTTTCATAATTCAATGTCTACAATGCTGGCCAACCTCTTTGGTCACAAGTTTGACAGTTTTTGACTGAGTTGCAACAAACTTAGCACTACAAAAAAACGAAAGCTTTCCAGTGGTCCTTAAAGGGGTAGTTCACCCAGAAATTCATATTCTGTAATGATTCTCATCATCCTTTACTTGTTTCAAACCTCCATTTCTTGTTAAACACAAAAGAAGATATTTTGAAAAATGTGAGAAACCTGTAGTATTTGTTTTTCCTACTGTAGGTGTTCAGTATTCAACAGAAGAAACAAACTCAGGAGGTTTTGGAACCACTTAGGTAAACAGTGAGTACATTTTAATTTGGGGTGAACTGTCCCTTTAAGTTTTAAACAAAAAAATAAAATAAAATAATTATTCACTCATTTTCCTTCGGCTTAGTTTAGTTTTGGCTTGGGGTTGCCACAGCGGAATGAACCACCAACTATTCTGGCATATGTTTTATGCAGCGGATGCCCTTCCAGCCACAACCCAGTACTGGGAAATGAATTGACATATCTTTTTTTGTCATTCAGATAAGTGTAATAGTGTTTTAAAACACTAAAACATCCTTTAAACACTTTAAAAAGTAATTTGATGAACTTTAAATGGCATAATTAATGCAAAACTATTGCAACATGAGCTTCCTTTTCCGTGTACACTGATAAAATTGATTAAATATAAATATTTGTCTTTATTAGTTCATCAAAAAACATCAACATGGGATACTATAATTTGATAAAAACTACTAAATAACTTATGCTGAGTTAACATGCAGTAATCATCGCATATAATTGAACCGTATCAGAACAAAACTTCCAATTAAGTGCTAAGTTTAGATGTGTCTTAATAACATGTATGAAATATATACTTTTATCCTTATTAGTTCATCAAACATGAACATACTTCACTTCATTCTTACAGAAACAAAAACTTTTAAGACTGTAATAAACATAGCAAATCGCAAATAAACCCAATAATGCAACCGTATCTGAACACAACTTCTAAAGCAGAGACCACGTTTGAAGTTTACTGACTTTAATAAATCGTCTACTTGTGTATAAGAGCAGCTGTGAGATCGCAGTGAGTTTTCCGTACCTCCAGAATCGACGCGGCCATCCCGGAGGAAGCAGTCCAGTGAGGGTCAATCCAAAAGCGGGAGAGGAGAGCTGGCGGTCCGCGGAGTCTGAAACAAATACCGTCAAAAACAGGAGCGACGGCTCTATGAGGAGCAGAGAAAAGAGGAGACCCGCCTCCTGATGAACTGAGAGAGAGAGAGAGAGAGAGAGAGAGAGAGAGAGAGAGAGAGAGAGAGAGAGAGAGAGAGAGAGACCTACAGTGAACTTATATTGACAATTGTTTGTGGGGTTTGATTCTTGGGGTTTTCGTTTCATAATTAAATATTGTAATGAGCTGTTCCACAGCTGCATTATAGGAAACGTTTAGAGTTGATTCATGTGCTATATTAGTTTGGATGTTTTCGTTATAAAGGTTATGTGTGTGTGTGTTTGTGCTTCAATGGTTTAAGCTCAATGTTTCCTTGGTTAGTAAAATATTGGCCATTATCGAGGGTTGTGTGCACCCCGGTGGTACAGTATGGTTGTGTTTTGTGCTCGGAATAAAAGGCCAGATAATGCTGTCTCATGGTTACTCTGTCAGACACTCGTGCGGTGTATTGGTCTCGAGTGTTCAACCTGCTGGCTTTCTAAATAGAAGACAGCTGTGTGCTATAGTTGCTAGCACCCCGCTAGTCGCTTAGATTAGCCATACGTAGTTTAAACTCATACGTTCAAAGTAGCCAAAGACAAAGGATGGGGTTCTAGAAAAAGTATGCATCGTTTTTACAGATCACCTATACATGTAGGCCTATCTGTTATTACATTTCTTGAAGCAACAAAAAGTCGATCAGACAACTCAAAAAACGCTGTCGAACAGAAATCACGTGACGAATATCCCAACCACCACAGCCACCGATCACCGGAATAGAAATTTTAATAAGCTCATATGATAATATGATTGATTTACGCGTCAAGGATATGTCACAAAAAGTAGGCTGCTACTTTTTTGTTAACAACTTCTGAATGTTAGACAAAAAAACTGTAATAAAAACAACATACTAACCTAGCAGGACTCACAAGCGTCATAAGAATTACAGTTGAAGTCAGAATTATTAGCCCCCCTGAATTATTAGCGCCCATTTATTTTTTTCCCTGATTTCTGTTTAATGGAGGGAAGATTGTTTCAGCACATTTCTAAGCATTATAGTTTTAATAACTCATCTCTAATAACTGATTTATTTTATCTTTGCCATGATGACAGCACATTATATTAGACTAGATATCTTTCAAGACACTTCTATACAGCTTAAAGTGACATTTAAAGGCTTAACTAGGTTAATTAGGTTAACTAGGCAGGTTAGGGTATTAGGCAAGGTACTGTAAAACGATGGTTTGTTCTGTAGACTATTGAAAACAATTTTAGGATTAAGGGGGTAATAATTTTGTCCCAAAATTGTTTTTTAAAAAAAATTAAAACTGCTTTTATTCTAGTTGAAATAAAACAAATAAGACTTTCTCCAGAAGAAAAAATATTATCAGACACACTGTAAAAATGTCCTTGCTCTGTTAAACATCATTTGGGAAATATTAAAAAAAGAAAAAGAAAATCAAAAAGGGGCTAATAATTCTGACTTCAACTGCATTAGTCATTTAGCAGACACTTTTATCCACAGCGACTTACAAATGAGGACAAGGAAGCAATTTACACAACTGTAAGAGCAACAATGAATAAATGCTGTAGGTAGGTTTCAGGTATGTAAAGTGTAAGATGCAAAACATTAGTAAATTCATTTATTTATATATTTTTATGAACAAATGTAAGCAGTTATGCATGTTTGTTTCCCCTAAAGCTCAAAATGGCCCACACTATTTTTGGTAATGCTGAAAGATTGTAATTTTATTAACATTGATCAAATATGAAGGCAAAACAACAGACATATCAATCAATCAATCAATCAATCAATCAATCAATCAATCTATCAATCAATCAATCAATCAATCAATCAATCAATCAATCAATCAATCAATCTATCTATCTATCTATCTATCTATCTATCTATCTATCTATCTATCTATCTATCTATCTATCTATCTACAAACTGGAAATGTTTTTTACATCTTAAAAAAGACATGAGTGATGTGATGCTGTGATGTGTGCAGGAACCATTTTGGTTCCCCAAAAGACCTTTTAATTACAGTTCTAAAAAAATAAAAATAAAACTTTTTGTTGCTTAATTTAAGAACATTTTCATACTCAAAATACCCATTTCCCACTATAAAGCCTCTTTTAAAACCTTCGACGTTAAAGGTTCTTTGTGAAACCATCAGTTAACACTGATTAGTAATTAAACTATAGTGGATTGAAATTTACGGCTAGAATTATTTATTTAGTAACAGAGCTTATTTGACAGAGATAATAATAATAATAATGACAAAAAACTATTCATTATTGCACACAAAATGTTTTTTTGATCAAATTTGATAGTCATAATATCATAATATGTATTAATATAATACATTTCAAAAGGTACACATTAAATGTATGTCATTACCTACAAAAAGTTAATCATACTGTGATATCCAACAGATGCAGAGCAGAAAGAATATAACCAGGCAATTTAAATTATAAAAAGTTAAGACAATTTCAATCATATGATCATTAAAAAGCCAACAAAATGACAAACCCATTAAAAGACTATCTAAAAGGGGTAAATTATGTCTTTTGTGTTCTGAAACCTCTGGAAAATATAACAAATGGATAAAAGTCAGAGATGGTTTATTCAAACCTCTGTAACGCAAAACATGCAAGTTAATTATGCGTGTAATTACTGTACATCTACTGTATACGTTTTCAATTGGTAGCAATAAAATCACAGTTCATCCAAAACGTATTGTAGATTAACTAAAGTGATTTCTTCTCAATTTCAATCTCATGTATTTTATTTAGACACTGGTGTAAACTGTAGTTCCCAATTAATGTAAGCAGCAATTAGTAATTCTCTGAACAACACTCTTACCTTTAGTAAAACTCTCAACATCTGAACTTCTGCTTTAAAATAAAAACGGATTATTTACACATTTTCTTGCTTAGATTAATGATTTATTTTACTTTCAGCAATAAATGTTTCCCAGTAGACAAAATAAAGTGTATAAATGTATCCCGATCATCCTTCAGTACATGCTGCATTTTTCCTTATATTAGTATCATGTAAAAATTATATAGAAATAATTTGCAGGACAAAAAGTCCATTATACTACAATTCACAACGATTTACTGTGGTAAAAACTAAATTGGTTTTCATTACAGTTTATCTGTAGAAACTATAACATAACTATAGGAAATGAAAATATCTCCCTTATTTCATAAGGACTGCTTCAACATTAGCTAGCTTTAGTAAGATTTTAAAAACTCATCTTTTTAATACTGCATTTTTAGATTCTTGATCATCCTAATGTGTTTATGTTTTTTCTGTGTTGAATGTCCTTGTATTTTATTGCATGTTTAATTTCTCTGTTGTTTTTGGGTTTTACAAAAACACATTATAAATAAAATGTATTGTTATTGTTATTATTAATATTGTCAAAAATACTACAGTAAACAATGCATTGTGCATCACTATAATATCAAATAAATTAAATAAAGGGAACACAAACAACACAATGTAGCTGCAAGTGTTCTCTTTATATTTTTTGCATATACAGTTGAAGTCTAGTTTATTAGCCCCCGTTCCCCCCCCCCCCCAATTTCTGTTTAATGGAGAAGACTTTTTCAACACTAATAATATTGGATAATAATATTGAGCTTAAATGGTATTTAAAAAAATAAAACAAATAAGACTTTCTCCAGAAGAAAAAATGTTATCAGACATACTGTGAAAATTTTCTTGCTCTGTTAAACATAATTTGGGAAATATTAAAAAGAATAAAATAAAATATAAAAATTATATATAGATACACTTTGTGTGTGTATTTTTTATTTCATTAATAAACAACTTTTTATTTAATTCATTTGATATAAATGCAAAATAACAATAAAAAAGTACTGAAATTTTAATTTAATTTTATTTGTCTGTTTAACCGCTGCATAAAAACCTATGACAAAGTAGTTGGCAGTTCATTCTGCTGTGGCGACCCATGATAAATCAGGAACTAAGCCAAAGGAAAATGAATGAATGAATGAACCTTATATTCACAAGTATATATCATGTAAAATTATCTGAAAGTTATTTTTCTTTCTAATACAAATATACAACACATTCGGAAAGTATTGCTAGCGCTTTACTTCATCCACATTTGTTTATGTTAAAGTCTTATTCCAAAATGGATTAAATTAATGTATTTCCTCAACATTCTACACACAATCCCCCATAATGACAATGTGGAAAAAAAGAGTTTTTGAAATTGTTGCATATTTATTAAATATAAATGACAGTACATCAGCATTCACAGCCTTTGGCGTGAAGATCTAACTGAGCTCAGGTACATTCTGTTTCCACTGATCATTCTGGAGATGCTTCAGCTGATTGGACATGATCTGAAAAGGCTACACCTGTCTATATATGGCCCCAGGGTTGACAGTGCATGCCGAAGCACAAACCAAGCATGAAGACAAAGGAATTGTCTGTAGACCTGTGAGACAGGATTGTCTCGAGGCACAAGGCTGGGGAAGGTGACAGAAACATTTCTGCTGCTCTGAAAGTTCCAATGAGCACAGCGGCCTCCATCATCCGTAAGTGGAAGATGTTTAACCACCAGGACTCTTCCTAGAGCTGGCCGGCCATCTAAGCTGAGTGATTGGAGGAGAAGGGCCTTAGTCAGGGATATCCACCAACCAACCTGACCCAATCCACCAACCATGCATCTGTATGGTAAAGTGGCCAGACGGAAGACACTCCCCGCCTGGAGTTTGCCAAAAGGCATTTGAAGAACTCTCAGACTATAAGAAACTAAATTCTCTGGTTTGATGAGACTGAAATTGAACTCTTAGCAGTGAACGCCAGGCGTTATGTTTGGAGAAAAGCAGGCAGCGCTCATCACCAGGCAAACAGCACCCCTACAGTGAAGCATGGTGGTGTTGGCATCATGCTGTGGGGATGTTTTTAAGCAGCTATGGAGTGGCTTCACAACAACTCAGTGAATGTCCTTGAGTGGCCCAGCCAGAGTCCAGACCTAAATCCTATTAAACATCTCTGGAGAGATCTGAAAT